CCATGTGCAGACGAGTAGGTGGAAGACAGCTTCGGTGCTGACTGGCCGCTGTAGCTTCATTGTGGCAGCCGGTACCGTTTGCATCAACCAGCTTCTGGTGCTGACTGGCCGTTGTAGCTCCTGTCTAGATCTGATACGGTGTGCTGAATAGTGCTCCGCGAATCATACCCGAATCACACCCGTTTCATACCTCAAACCTTCAACTTCCAGACCCTGGCACATTTTGAACGCGTGAGTAAGATACTTCAGATCTCTGCATAACCCTGAAAATAAGACATCCTTCCATGGCACCAAAGCTATGGCTTGAACCAACCACCTGCTGTCAGGAACAAACGTGCTACCTACAGCCAGCTATGCCTTGAACCAACTATAGAAGCGTCAGAACTAGCCTCGGGCTTCACCTGTACTCGGGAAAGCCAGACTCTGGCCCTTGGCGGTTGATTTAGACCAGAAAACCATACGTGTCTCTCTCTCTCTCTCTCTATATATATATATGCGTGCAAGGATATACACAGAGATAAATAAAAGGTTGGAAAGTATGTCATGTTGGAAGCCTCTTAGATATGAAGTAAGTTCCTGTGATGAAGTTCATGCGAAGCAGACCCCGAAGCATACCCCCGAAGCAAACCCCGAAGCATACCTTCGAAGCATACCCCCTAGACAAACCTTCCAGTGGGGATACGGTATTTCCAGACGAACCCAAATATATAATTAATAATTTATATATATATATATATTGAATATATGGTCTAAAAACAGCTTAGCTACCGGAGAATGTTGCAGACTTAGAATTGTGTGTGTGCGTGTGCCGCGCAAGGGCGACAGTACAAACTACTATGTACATTTATTATATACTATTATATATATACATATATATCTATAAATTTTGTGTGCGTGTCTGTGTTATTGATAACAGGGTCGGGCTAAACACCTTTGCAGGGATCCCCCAAAAAGCATTTACATGTTTAACCATGCCCTTCTGATGTTGCCACATGAGCCATAAAAGCCACCATTGTTCATTGGTGATTGTAGGTGGGTTACCATATGTTTATTGCTGATTAATGACTATACCACTGACTGTGGGCAGGTTGTCCAACTGCACCTGGTCTATGTTTTAACATTCCACGGCCATATTTTGATGCCATGGAAGCGGTGTCTCAAATCGACGTCCCTGTCATGGCACCGAAGTATGGAAGGGATGTTGAAGCATAAATCAGGTGGAGTTGGAGAACCCGCCCACAGCGGTACAGCAATCACTGACAAACCAGGTAGTGTAACCACATAATTTATCACCAATTAACGGATCTTGTTTAAACGTTCTTCGTTTAAACATTTTTCGTTTAAACATGTTTCGTTTAAACATTGGTTAAACATTGGATCGTTCAAGCCCTTTAAGCAAGGAAGTGGCCCAACCTTGGCGCACACATATTCTGTAATTAGTTATATATATGTGTATACACAATATAAATTATATTAAATTATATTGTGTAAATCTCCGGTAGTTTAGTTCAGCTGACCAATGTATGATTCTGCGTTCAGAGTTTGAGGCAGTTTGAGGGTCGTTGTGAGCAGCTGGGAACATAGGAACAAATTGCACAGATACACACACACACATACACAGCATGCATGAACTCGATGTTTGCTTCAAGACATCTACTTTAAAGATCCTTAAAGATCCTTATTTACTTCTTGCCAGGCGTGACAGTGTCATGGAAGCACCTCGAAAGGAGTTTGAAAAGCACTCCCCTCAGAGCAATGCGAAGACTTTCCAGACATGTTCAGAATACCTTGCCATATCTGACCATGTGACATTTTTCTTCGCCTTGACCTCTGAGGACATATGACTGGCTCGCTTCTCAAAAAGGATACTCCCAGGTGCAATCGTCAGTTTGCACTTGAATGTCCATCAGGTGCTGCAAGTCTGCATTGGTCAGACATACCACACAATGTCACACATGGTTATTCCGAATGAGTCGTTCCATTGCATGCCCCACGCTTTTCAAAGGCCCGTAGTGGTTTCACAAAACATCACAAAAACTATAGTGATGGGAATTTTGCCTGCCCATGCTTGCTCCTACTCCTGACTGCGTCAGAGATGCGCATTTCAGGTGGATATTGACCGCTACTACAAGCAACGGCTTGGATAAGAGGCTGGCTGAGTAAGCAGATGTTGGCAGGGTCTCCGAACCAGGGACAAGAATTTGTAAAAAAGGAATTCATGTAACTTAATTGGTGCTAGTGCTGTAGTAGTATGGTGGTTCACTTTTCCCATGGTCCTGTTGTTCATCGCAGGCTGTTTTGGAGGATAAAATCCGAATCACATGGAACAATCTGGAATGACATCCTTTGGCTCCGTATTACTGATAAGTGTGATAAGTCACGATAATTCCAGAATCGGAATCATCCAGTGGCCACAGTCAAGAACATTGTCACAGCCAAGTTTTTTCGGGGTAAGGAGCCTGCCAGGGAGCATGTGCTCGGGTGATATGAACCCTGACAGGGTCATTCACAACATTTTTCGAAGACGAGTTTGAATCCAAACCACTTGATGTGAAATGCATGTTTCTTAGGGTGGATTGTTTCGTATCCCTTTTCGCAGGTTGGTTTGGGATAGAGATTCCCACTCATTTGCTGTACCTAATGTGCAGGCCAAAACTGTCAACTTGTCACAGCTGAGTGCACCAGGACTCTCAGACCTGAGCTTTGCGCTTCCGCCCGACATAGACAAGGAAGGAAGAGATTGCATCAAAATAGATTGGTAGGGACATGAAAATAAAAAGATAAAAAATGGTCAGCTATGCAATGCTGCTTCAACGAGACGGAGCCAGAGGCTAGCCAAATTCACCTGACCGAAAAAAAAAAACAATCAGCATTGCCCGACTCCCTTACCCCGGCTGGGACTTCGCGGTCTGCCCGTCTTTCGGAAGCTGCTGACCTTGAGGAAGAGAGCAGGCCTCCCGCCGGCTCATGCCTGGACTGCTTCTCCTTGGTGCTAGAGCACGTTGTGGGTCACGGAAGAACGGGAAAGAGGATAGGTCCCAAATTGGGACCTTTCGCTCTTCTCGTTCCCGTGGCGCTCAGACGTGTTCGGGCGCCATGGAGGGCAACCAGGCGTGGACCGGCGGGAGGCGTGCTCTCTTTCTCATGGGCAGCAGCAACCGACTGATAGGGCGGGCGGCGAACGCAGGCGTGGTAGGGGAAAAAGTTGGGTGGTGCCGATTGCGGGAGGCGTCGGGCCGATTGGCGGCTTGAGCCGGGGAGGTCCGTTTGGACCTTCCTGGTTCATGCTGCCAATCGGCAGGACGCCCCTCCCGGCCCTGGGCTGCCCCGGTCAGGTGATGGGCTTGTCGATGGCATCGGCCAATCTTGTTGATTGCGGCGCATAGCTGGCCCAGCCGGGCAGCCCAGGGCCGGGATATATTGAAGAATATAAAGTAACAAAAATAAATTATCGAAAAACAAGCACTCTCTTCCAACTAGCTGCCTGGATGAACCCAAGGCACTGAAGCCATTTGTCAAACACATGGCTGGCAAAACAGCATAAAGCATGTATTAGGGCTCAGAAAATACTACAGCGAAAAAGTAAACACTTAAGCAACATTAAGCAGCATCAAGCAACACTCAGCAACAGGAGTAGCGGATACTCCTTGAAACTTGCTGGCAGCAGAGCAGCAAAGCACTGAATTTGATGAAAGCCGAAAGTCAGGAATCATGCATGTCATGCTACATTGTCCAAGGGTCGTAGTTGTATAGAGCACGGAATGTGTAGGCACACCGTAACATCACCAAACGCATTGTAAAACAGTTCCATGCGTGAAGTTGTAGATCAGACTGGTTGATTGATGTGTGGTCATAGCTCGAAATGTTGCCTTTGCCCGGCTATCAGAAGCAAGGGTTCACTTGATTCATGATACATATCTTGTGATTCTCATATTCGACGATTGTGGAGAAGTAGATGCGATGCTGTACGAAGCAGCGAAAAAACAATTTATTCCTGAAGAGGCATGCATCATCGCATCAGCAAAGGCACCAATTCTTGAGCACACTACTGGGTCCCGTACTCGTAGTAGCTCCTTGCTGACCTTGAGCGGATAATTGGGCGGCATTCTGCACAGTTTCACCCCTTGCACGAAAGGATCTACAGTGGGACTCAGTATGAAATTGGAACATTCGAGATGTTTTCAGTCGAATGTCGTCATGTGTGTTGGACCTGGTTCACAGAATTTGAAGCCAAACCATACGGACCAAACCAATCTTTTTCCCAGCTGGTTCCAGAAATCTGGAAACTCCCAGCGAGTCTGTATTTGTGCTACTGCGTGATGAAAATGTTGCTTGATTACCATGGTCTTTTAGCGGTTTGAACCTTTGCAGCGAACCGCTCAGTGTGCAATCATTCACGATTGCAAAATGCATCTTGTAAAATCATGCGCATGATTGCCGTGACACCGCGATCATATTTTGTTTTGCAAATTTTACTGGGCACAGAGCAACTTCCAGCTTGAACTTGCCCCCGAAAGCCAATCGTAGCAATGCTTAAGAGCGCAAACCACAGCGCCAACGCAGTACAGGCTCAATGTGTTTCAGAGTTTTTGCGACATTTTGTGACCATGAAGCAGTCAAAGTTGCATACATTTGTATTTTGTACATGCAAGACCTTATCATATGGTACATTCAGACATTCAGAATGGTATTTTGTGTATTGCGTTTGTTTTGGTGGGTCAAGCCGTATGACTGTGGCAATGGACATATATGAGCTGAATCTAGAATCTGACTACTGGGCACATGTTGGCACGCGCCTAGCGGCCTAGCAGACAGCATGAACAGCCGAGGCAAACAACTTCCAGACATTCAAAGTTGAAGAGACAACCACAATGGGGCTTTGAGACAAAGCAAAAAATACTGATCATGGGCCTGCGTGGTTTCCGCATGTTTTGTTTCAAGTTTCAGATTTGTTACGTTTCTTCGTTGCTATGCCTCCCATGTAGAATACGGGTTGCCGCATGGCTCATGCAGACGAGGTTTGGCTGGAAAAAATGTCTATCTTCTGGATCGTAAATCGATGTAAATCGTAATGTCATAGGATCCAGTTTTGCTGTGTTTGATACATTTTGATGCATTTTGATACTGTTGGATGAGTCAATCTGACAACCGCACCCAATATTTAAGCTGGAAGGCCACAGTAGTTTTCAGTTGGAAGACGCATCCAGTGGCCTTCTGGGACCAAATGTTTTTGAGAGGTTATATGATGTTATATGATACATATATTTACATATGATTTACGTACGATGTAGATGAAATCTAAATCTACATGAAATCTACATGCAACATTGTTCAAAGTTGCGGCATTGAAGTTGCACAGATCGAACTTGCTTTTGCAAGTCCGGCCTCTATATATAGTGAAGAAAATCAAGAAGCAACACAAAGCAATAAAGGCAGAGATCGGCATTATATACCAGGATATGCCAAGTTGTGCTGTTCCAAGTGCGAATGTATTAAGATGATTTAAGTTCAAGGGATTTCAAGGGCCTTTTGGGTTCCATGCAGTTGTTTCCAAAGCACATTGCTTCACATTGCAGGCGGAGCAGCGGGTTGGAGTGCTCGAAGGTCTGCCACACAATGTCAACATTTGCAAGATCAAAAAGGATCAAAAAGGTAAGAAGAGAGATCAAGAAAGATCAAGAGAGATCAAGAAAGGTAAAACGCTTCACAGGCGCATTGCTACCTGCTAAATCTGCTAAGGCACCCCAGAGCGAAAAAAGCAACGGTGTTCTCCTCAGGCGCCAAACCATCGCTAAACATTTAATTTTGTGCGAGCGGACGGGGATGGATTGGGCCAATGCTGCATGATGATGTGCTTATACTATATTATATTATATTGTTCATTTTGGTCTGGAAGTGGTTGCAGGATTATATACACTTTTACACGGAAGTCTTTCACACACACACACACCTCACTTCGACATGCATTTCTTGCGCACACCGATCTTCCACCATCTCCTTTCTCTTTCCTGCCTTTCCCATCCCGTCTTCACCTTTTTTTTGCCACTCATTGGAAGAATCTGACATGTGGGGTTATCCGGTCCTTTAGTTGATTCTTCATTTGCAAGTCGTGAAATCTTGGCGCCAGAATGAAAGCAGTGGACACAATGGAAGCCATGCAATCAATGGTGTTGCAGCTGCGAACGGGACTGGAGAAATCGGCAAAGGGCGGTGCAATGATCACACGCATATTTTACACAATTTTACACACATATATATAATGTAATTATATACGCATTATACACATATATGATCGACACCAATCCACACAGGACTGACGAAATAGGATCTGGTTGTTTGCGGGGCGACATGATGTGAACCATTGAGCTGTGAAATCGCAGCAAAATAACGATGAATAGCATTGGAACCTATTAGTCTCAGAACGTGCTTTTACGCTTCCCATTTGCTTCGCACTCGAAGACATGGAATGTATCTGGCAGTAATGTGCTCAATCAAATCACTGCCAATATGAAGCACTGAGATGCACTGAGTTCATACTCAAACCTAAGCATAGTTCATACAGTATGTAATGCAGTAAGTAACATTATGTAATACACATGTTCATATCGTATGCATACCATTCCCATCTTTCCGGTGAGGACTGATGCTCCAGATGGGCAAGGCACGGAGGTCCCCAGCCCACCCAGCCCAAAGCCTAGTGGCCTATAGTGCATGGCAGTCAGCCGGGATAGACGTGCTTCGAATCAAATAGACAGTCCAAAACAGTCATAGTCAGTTTCATAGTCAGTTTCATTCTGTTTCTATCTATTTCTAGTGTCTCATGTTTCTATATGCCTTGATGACTGTGACAGCTGAGGTGCAAGTCAAACCGCCATGCTGACAGAGGACTGCTTTCTGGGTTCTGGAGATTTGGCATATGCCTTGATGAACGCAGGTGCTGCGGGTTTTCCATGGTTTTCCAAAATTTGCCGTTTACATCTATTTACATGGATTCGTGCAGGATGCCCCGCTACATAGCGAAGCGCATAAGAAGGCTGGATTGGGAACGCCGGGGAATCGGGGACTGCGAAGAAAGTATGCGAAGAAAGTTGTTGCCTTGGGCCCTGGCGCTGGCCCTGGCAGGTCAGATATGCCAACAGTACGCAGTCGTGCCCTTTCGTGCCTGAGCCTCAGTCTTCTCGACAGAGCAAGGCAAAATATTGGCAGATCACATGTTCAGAACGTGTTGCATGACTTGCGAGCAGTGACAGTGCCTTTGTCTTTTTGATTCTTTTGGATTGGAAGGTTCAGAACTTCGGATGGCCAGAAGATCCCGTTCCAGACCACAGTCCGAGCAGCGGGCTCTAGTATGGAGGCCGGATTGCGCCACTCACCAAACCAACCCAAATCACACAAACATGTAGAAACATGGCCATTGGTCCGCTGGTTTGAAGAAACATCTTTGCTGTCTACTGGCGCTTTTGCCCTTTGCAGTGCGCATGTCTTGAACATGTCTGCACTTTCTTCGCCAGGCAGCAATGCGCATTGCCCGTGACAGTCTTAGCATGTTGATGATCGTTGTTGATGGGCATGGATGAGAGGATCAGTGCTCAATATCATAACTTTGGACTTCGCGGTCGATCTGGGTCACTTAGTGAAACTATAATGAGGGTTGCATTGATAATATTTGTATTGTGCGCATCCTTCTCATGTTATGAGAAACATTCCGAGACGCAAAATCAATTCACACAAGAAGCTTTTTTTTTGTGTGTGATGCACTTTCCTCAAATGTGTCAGTTCCATTGATGGGATTGCGCAAATGCACTCATATTCATGACGCACCCATCACCATTTTGTACCAGAGGGGGGGCTCAACACCAAACAAATGGCCAAGGTATGTGCTACCACAAATTTGAGCTTGGCTTGGCCAAGCCGGAGGTGGAGCAGTATCGAGCAGAGGCGTATGAGAGGCGTCTGGTCAATGCATCGCATGCATTGGCATCTGAAATCATTTGAATGTCATCCGAAGCTGTGGGTCGTTATTTTCGGCCTTTTATGGCCTTTCCGCGTCTTCCCATATTTTTCCCCACATCTTTGTCTGGGGTTCTTGTTTTTGGTTCTGTATCCCGCCCGGCCTCCTTCCAGCCTCCGCCTCCGCGCGGTTTCTTTCTTTCGCACACCACTCTTTCATACACAACTCTTTCACACACATCTCTCTCTCTCTCTCACACACACACACGCAATCTTTCACACAACTTTGTTACACACAACTTTGTCACACACACACACAACTCTTTCACACGTATCTCTCTCACACACAACTTTGTCAAACACACGCAACTCTTTCACACAGATTTCTCCCACACAACTCTTTCACACATCACACGACTTTTTAAATTTTCGATCCTCCACCATCTCCTTTGTGTTTCCTGCCTTCTCCGTACCACTTCAAGCACTGTTTCTGATTATTGGAAGAAATTGTGACTTGTGGGGTTATCCGGTCCTTTAATTCGTTCTTTTTTGGGAGGGCTTTGTCGGATGTTCCATGTTGTTCGGCTTTCAGGCTTCGCAATGGCATGGGCATTACGCCCAAAGAAACCAAGAGGAAGCCAAGAGCGCCAAAGGAACCCAAACCAAAGGAAACGAAGGAATTGCCCAAGGCACTTCTTTTCATTTGCATCTTTTTTCAATAGTTATCGTTTCTATGTTTTATAACTTACATTGTTTTATCTCTTCCCCGTTCCTTGTCTGAGCACTTCTGATGCATTGCATGGCTTTCCTGCTACCATGCTTGAACCTGATCCTGATTATCCTGGATTTTGTAACCCTCAAGAAACCCAGACTCAGATCATTGTAGCATTGTAGGATATTGTAGGGAAATTCTGAGAGCATTCGCCTCGCCGACATATTATATAAACACCCAGTGACCCATTTTAATGATGTAATATGAGATGAATCGATAAAACTGTGGTATATATTTACGCCCAGGCCGGGTGTGCCGCCCTTCGGGCGGCACACCCGGCCTGGGCGTATCATCAACTATCATCAACCATATATGCGGGTATCATCAACCATATCTATGCATATATATATATATATGTATGTATATATATATCTAGGGAATATTAAACTCCCACCCCCGTTTAACTTTACATTCAATTGGGAAGATGATGATGATGATGATGATGATGTTGATGAAATGAGGGAAAAAGTTCGTCATCCGTTTGCCCAAACGAACGACACGGGGAATCTCACAAAACATTGGCCCTGCGCAGTCAAAACGCACTTTCCCGGGCAGCACATCCGTCCTGGCCGTATATTTATATTTGTATATATACATATTATATGTATATATATATTATATGTAAATATTATATATATTTATATGTATACATGTGGTATGCATATCTGTATACATACATACGCCCGTCCTAATATCGGCATGTCTTCGATCTGCTTCGCATTTCTGCACAAGACACACGCACACACACACACACTGAATTTCACAGTCACAAAAATCCCTGGTTTGATAGGCCAAAGCTGCCAAAGGCAAGAAGAAATCCTTTGCCATCAAGGTTTGGGCCTTTCTGACTGGGGCAGGTCGAGATTGATCCACTTTCGACGAAGTAAGGCGTGTAAAGCTAGAGTACAAGAGTAAAAGGCACGAAGAAAGGCAGGTGCTATCCCCATCTATCCCCGAAATGTTGCTTGTCCTTAAGATCTCTCGGCAATTGCAAAGGCAATCGAAGTTGCATGTGCATTGAGGGTGCTGTTTGCGTATGTAAAATTGTTTGGCAATTTGTTTGCAAAGCCCTAGCAGCAACCGAATCTAGTGAATATGACTGACTAGCGGCGATCATCCATTTTTTATTTAGATATTTTGAATACTTGTATTGAAAGGATGGGAATAATTGAGAGGCTGTTGTTGTTGTTGTTGTTGCTTTTTGTTCAGACAGCCAGTACCTTGATGCCAGGCCAGTGACTTGAAGCAATTGAATGAACAGGGAAGGCTGCAAGGTGCTTTGCGGATTTTTGGGTGTGATGCCCCAGGAATGCGCTTGGGGTGGTGGCTTGCTGAGACGGCAGCAGGCGTCACCATGCACTACATTATGTTCTGCAAACATAAGCACATGACATAACGATATATAGATGTATTTAAGGGCTTACGCCCGACAGCCGGCCAGGGGCCCACTTGGAGGTAAAGGTCATAAATAGATGATAATGAAGAATTGAGGGTAAAGGATCGCAAATTTATGATAAATAAGAAAGGGGCGCATGGGAAAGCCAAAAAAAAGCCAACTGCGGGGTGTTTGTAGGTTGTTGTTGTTGTTGTTGTTGTTGTTGTTGTTGTTGTTGTTGTTGTTGTTGTTGTTGTTGTCGTCGTCGTTGTTGTTGTTGTTGTCGTTGTCGTTGTCGTTGTCGTTGTCGTTGTCGTTGTCGTTGTCGTTGTTGTTGTTGTTGTTGTTGTTGTTGTTGTTGGTGTTGTTGGTGTTGTTGGTGTTGTCGTCGTTGTTGTCGTCGTTGTTGTCGTCGTTGTTGTCGTCGTTGTTGTCGCTGTTGTCGCTGTTGTCGCTGTTGTCGCTGTTGTCGTTGTCGTTGTCGTTGTTGTTGTTGTTGTTGTTGGCGCTGTTGCTGTTAGTGTTGGTGTGGGTGTGGTTGTGGTTGTCGTTGTCGTCGTCGTCGTTGTTGTCGTTGTTGTCGTTGTTCTTGTTCTTGTTCTTGTTGTTGTTGTTGTTGTGGTGGTGGTGGTGGTGGTGGTTGTGGTTGTGGACCAATTCACAACAGAGGCCAAGGGTGGAAGCTGCCAGGCCACAGACCGCACTGTCTAACGTCACTTTCTGAACTGTAGAAAAATGAAAGTTTCAATCCCAGCAAGCACTTAGTCAACATGCAGGCCAGGAACGTGGCAAAAGGAGCTGTGGCCAAGGGTGGAAGCTGCAGGGGTGTTTTTCAAGCCCTGGGTTGAGGCCAAGAGTGGAAGCTGCAGGGGGGTTTTTCAAGCCCTGGGTTGAGGCCAAGAGTGGAAGCTGCAGGGGTGTTTTTCAAGCCCTGGGTTGATTTTGGAAAGCGGCCAAATGCTAACCAAAGGAGCTGGCATAGAAACACCATTTGGCAACAGACGTAGGTGGAAACGGGAGTGGCTAGGCAGGCCAGGAACGTGGCAAAAGCAGGTGCGGCAAAGGGTAGAAGCTGCAGGTGGGTTTTTCAAGCCCTGGGTTTTCAGCTGGTTGTCAGGCCACAGACCGCAAGAGGGGCAGAGGAACTGGCACCAACAGGCCGGAGATGGTCAATGTCGAAACCTTCCGAAACGGAAAACAGCACTGACAGCACCCATCTGAATGTTTCACCGGTTTTCCCAGGCCACAGACCGCAGTGTCTAACGTCACTTTCTGCACCCTATAATCATGAAAGTTTCAAGCCCAGCGAGCAAGTCCTAGATGGTCAAGCGCAGTGTCTAACGTCACTTCTTTCTGAACCCTATAAACATGAAAGTTTCAAGCCCAGCGAGCACGTCCTAGATGGTCAATGTCGAAACCTTCCGAACGGGAAAGCAGCACTCATCTGAACGTTTCACCGGTTTTCCCAGGCCACAGACCGCTGTGTCTAACGTCACTTCTTTCTGAACCCTAGAAACATGAAAGTTTCAAGCCCAGCAAGCACGTCCTAGAAGGGCAAAGGAACTGGCACCAACAGGTCGCGGCAGTGCCGGAACTACACTTTTCTCTGACGCGCTCCCCTTGCTCATCGCTGGGGCCGACTGATATTATATATATATTGTATATATATATATATATTGTATATATATAATATATTTTATATACATATATAATATAAATATATATAATATATATATATATAATATATATATTATATATATAGATGTATGTGCAAGAAGGTTGAGAGGGGACTTCTACAGACAGAGAGAGCCAGAAAGAGAGAGAGAGAGAGAGAAAATAAGTGAGTGAGTGGGTGAGTGAGTGAATGAGTGAGTGAGTGCGTGGGGGGGGTGAGTGAGTGAATGAGTGAGTGAGGGAGTGATGGAGGGGTGAGAGAGTGAGATGGGCGAATGGCGCCTTGTTTATGCATGAGGTGGGGATGGGGAGGTGTTGATTTGTTTTGACTAAGGCGTGATGCCAAAAAGAAAAACGCGTTTGGTACTCAAATCAGCTGCGACATGTCAAAAGTAACTGTAGTCGCTGTAGGGGCAGCAAGTAACTTACAGAACATGATAGAACAGAGAATCAAATAGCATGAAAATACCGGTTAGGGTCTGTGCGCATGTGACTCACAGGACGGTCAATGGTATCTACCTCCTGTCGAAGAAGTTTGAGGGCAGCGCTGCTTATGAACGCTTTTGCCCATCAGGCCCCGCTTGAGGTCTCATCAAGTTCCAAGATGTTCCAAGGCAGTTGAGGTCCGTTTCGATCGTTTCGGGACTGATTTTGAGGCGATGACGGCGATGACTTGCAACGGTGGCTCTTCTACGCCAAGGACAAGAGCCGATGGAAGGTCAGTGAGGCCATGCTACGCGCTGCTTCGGCTCGCGAGGATCTAAATGAGTCTTAGTGATTTTAGCTAATCAAAACCACTGCATTTTGAAGAAAACTAAATGGCTTAGTTCGTGCTTTCTGAAATGGTTTCATCACATTGAGGCAGTAATGGAAGGCACAATTTAGATTTGATAAATTGGGTGGGACGACATATTCCCCGGCGAAATCGCAGACATTCACCAGTCGTCCTAGTCATGTCCGGGTCGTCCGAATCGTTTTTAATGCACCAGCAGCGGCAGGCCCTCGGTCATCATCACAACTTTGCCTTTCTGAAAGTGACGGACCTCACCTTGGGTAGCATCGCTTCTGATCCAGATAGATAGGTATCAGGTATATATACATAACATAAACATATTGTATATATATATATAATATGATTATGTATTTCATCTTGAAAGAGTATAAAACTGCATAGATACACTGGTGTGACTATAGATGCCATACACATACATTATACACATATGTGTGCATATGCATGTGTATAGAGACATATATAGATATAGATATAGATATAGATACAGAAATAGATATAGATAGATATAGATCTGCGTGTGTCTGTGTGTTTGTGACATGTGTCTGTGTGTATGAAACTGTATAGATATGGCTGCATGTCTATGTATGCATATCATGCTAACTGCGCATGGCTTCTTACTATATCACTATGTTCACATGACCTGCATCAATGCGATTCATGTTTGATTTCGCCAAAGAGGCAGCATTCCGAACCAGGTTTTCTCAGTAAAATTCACCTCCCGTGAGGATGGCGGAAAGAGTCCACCCTTTGAGGCACAGTGAGGCACTCAGAGATAGAAACTGGTTGAATAACCCTGGCAAATAGGTCTACCGGCTGGGCTAATCCCATCTACAATTGGGTTACAACTTACAGCAGAGAGAGAGAGAGAGATACATTGAATCATGCATGTGTATATATAGCATGAATTAATATGATATAACTAATATAATAGAATAATTTGATTATATTTAATTTAGTTCGATGTAATATAATATAACATGTAGTTTTTTTGCCCCGCGGCAACCTCGGCATAGGTGATTTGTAGGAGGGATCATCCCCAAACTGGCATACTTCGGGTTAGCGAATTGTAACAAGTTGCCCATGGCTATCCATGGCTCATATTTAGACGTAATTTTAGCTGGTAATTATTCAATGGTCCGTGTGGAGGGCGCATAGCGAAGTAGGCCCCAGTAGCTGTCCCAGACTTGGCCACGAAGTTGATCAATGCCCATGCGGCTTGAGAGATGGGAAAGCTTTGCGTTGGTTTTTGTTCAATTTTGTTGGTTTAGTTGCTTTTAGTTGCCTGGAGTTGCTTTGCATTTGCTGGAGCTCTCCCAAGGCCAGATGCAGCATGGATGTTCTATGATGGCAAAGGTAAGTGGCAAAAGGAGTGCCTGCGTTTGCGTTTGCATGGGAGTATTTGGCAGTTGATGTGACAAGGTATGAAAATCTTTGATCGTTTTGATCCAAACTGGCGAACGACTCGAAAAATTGTGAATCTTAGTTTGACCCGAGGACCTTTCGGTGAAGTGCGTTGCATTCAAATTAGCACCGCCAAAGGCCTGGAAACTCGTGGAATCTCGCGCGTGATCATTATCAACGGCGAAAAGAAGGATGCCACATATGGTGCTAGTTAGTTATAATATGCATATATAGTAAGTTTTTCTCTGTATATATATATATATGTACTGTAGATATCCCGTGATATAGGATGATATAGCATATGTGCTGGTAAAAATATGGCGAATTGGCTACAGGCCAAATCTGTGAATCCCAGCTCAATTAGGGTATAGTGTGGTAATAATAATAATTGTTGTATTTCACGGCATAGCCAAAATATGCGATGCTTGGGCAAGTCTGGTCTGTGGGTGCGGAATCTCTGCCGAGCATCAGAAAGGTAGGTGACCACGTGAAATGAACGATGACAATAGATTGCTTTTGCAAATCTTTTCCGGCACAGTTGTTCGAGTGTTTGAAAGAGTGAACTCGATTTAGACTACTGCCACTATTGCTTTCAGCACTGGATCTGTCAGAGCAAGAGACTGAGCATGATTTTGATGGCTCTGATAGCTGATCCGAGCAGCACGTTGCTGTTCCTGAGCAGGATGCAAAACAGGCAACGCAGAGATCGCAACCGGAAGAGGAGGAGAGTTCGGATTCCGTCCTGCCCTCAATCTATCAAATTTCGGACGTCAAAAGTGTGACTATTGCGTGACTCATAGCATTTTGCGATCGGATAAAGTACAGTAGCATGTGGCAGCACCAGATACGGACATGTGTAAAGTTATGTATGGATATGTATGGCATGTTTGCGATATTGAACAGTTTGCATGGGCTGATATGGGTTCCCCATGGTTCCCCTGATGGTTGTGTGACACTTCTGAACTGTCAGTACCAAGGCGTCCTCAAGTACTGACAGTGAGGCAAATGCAAACGCAAACTCAAACTTGGAACAACGATCACCGTAGAATACCGTAGAGTTTGGGCGGAACCTTGGGGAAACGGAAGATTTCAAGATGCAAGAATTTTCAAAATAAGCAGAGTCTAAACAGAGTTTGAAGAGCCAAAATGTTTGTAAAGCAACGACTAGCTTCCATGCCGAGGGAGGGGACACATGCGATTCGAGCGATGATCACTCAGCAGACCCAGCAGGTTCGATGGCCGTGGCGAAGTATGGGGCTACTTTAATAATGCTTAATAGAAGTACCCATGTGTTTTCATTCCATGATTTTACCGTTTTTTTTGCCTGACCTTGCGAGGAAATTACGGACGTCGTGTTCAATATTTTAACACCGGACCACCACTTGTGACATTATCGCAACATATTTGCGATTTTCCAAATTCTGGCCATGTGAATTGAAAACCGCAAATGCATCATATTTTTTCCAAACAGTGACAGCATGTGACAGCCGACATGTCTTTCAAAGTCCCATCCCTAGTGGCCGTCCCACGCCGTCCCTTCGGGCCTCAGGTGCAGCAGGTGCAGCGGTGCCCAGACCAGTGGTTCGCACGCGGTCACGAGCGTGCGCCAAGATGATGGTGCGTCTGAGACTTGGGTAATGCTGGCAATGCTGGGTGAAATCCAATGCCCATTGACGCAGATGTTTTCACATGTTTTCACACGTTTTCACAGACTTGACATTTTTTGAATACATACAATACATGTTTGTGACATTTTGATATATTTTGTGATCTTTGCCGGGCACATTCATCGAACATTCCTGCGTGCTGCAGATATGCTGTCGATATGACTCTAGATAATTTGCAGTAGATATTTTTGTGGTTTTAGCCCTTCGGGACATGTTCCTGGTCTAGCCTCGGATTTGGAGTGTCATGTCGAAATGATGCTCATATAATCTCATAGATGCTCACGTGCTTGATACCATGGTGCTGAAACAATGATGCTTCGTGATCTCAAGCGTTGCTTGGGCTCCATGGGGCTTAAAAAGTGTGGCATCCTGTAGCTGGCTGATGCATGCCGCAGATCTGGCCGAAGGATACTTCATCCAAAAGGATTGATAGGACCGATAGATCGATAGGACCCTGCCATGATGCAAAACTTCGGATGCTGGTGCAGGCAGGCAGTTGAGATTTTTAAGTTAGCTTTGTACAAGTTTCAGCGAGAAGCTACACACAGTGTGGAGTCCTTGCACCAGGCTGTCTAGTACTGGTTGAAGGTGTATCAGCGTGAAAAGGTTTTACTTGTTTTCACAGCAGGGCAGAGCCCATACCGCAGTCCATGCACAGTCATTGCCAGGCTGAAGTTCCAAAAGTTCCAGGCTATACGCTGATTGTAAAGAATACATTTTTGGATATGGAGGCGTGGGGGTCATGGACGGTCCCACCAAAAACAGTTTTACGATTATATGTGTTGCATCATATTAATTCATAGTATATTTCATATCGCATGATATTGCATGATATCATGATCACACATGTGTGCCCCAGCCAGATACATAGCTCGATCCTGAGCACATGGAGATCATGGAGCTTGCAGCTGTCGACTGTCAGGCAGAGGTACAAGATGATTCTGGGTCACGACGCAGGTCATCATCGGAGCCGCCTCCAACGCTCACGTCGCTCAGCAGTGAAGGGTCGCTAGGAATGTTCGAATAGTTTGAGCTCTGAACATACTCTGGACGTATCAACGTATCTTGAGTCTGGTGATATTTGGTGTTTCCTAAAAGGTCCAAAAAGCCCAAGTCTCCCTGAGTCTTGATGTTCTTCCTGCATGGATAGGGGAGAATTATACAGACGGTTATGTTTTTGGTATCTTTTATAGTTATAATTTATATATACACGGTACACGTTTCGTTTTTTATTTCTGTTTCCCTGCTTCTTCGCTTCTTTGCTTCTCCGCTCCGCTTTTCTGCTTCTCTGCTTTTCTGCTTCTGGTTTTCCTTGCTTCTTTGCTTCTGCTTTTCCTTGCTTCTTTGCTTCTCTGCTTCTCTACTTTTTTGCTTCTCTGCTTCTCTGCTTTTCTGAGTCTCTGCTTCTCTGCCTTTCCCTGTTTTTGTGTTTATCAAGACCCAAATCAGACTAATTACAAACAAACCCTGTAAAATAAGCATTTTTTGATAGTTTTTGTGGTTTATGTTAATTAACAATAATTAACAGTCTTATTTATGTTTCCTTTGTATTTCATTTTATTTGCTTTGTTTCTGCTACAGTACTCTTCAACTATTTGCTGCTATTTAGTTCTTATTGCATGTGATCCTATAAATTGCATATAGAACAAGATAGTAGAGGTGGAGTTATGTCTACATAGATCTCCGGAGATCTCTGGGAATCTATGGAGATATAAGGAATCACATGGAATCACCGTGAAAGAGAAAAAAACAAAGAAGAAAAGAAGAATAACCATTGTCACTACATGTCACTACAAATCTTGACAGAGAAATCATAACGTTATGCTTATATAAATGGTTTGTAGTATATGTGTGTGTGTAAGATTCTATATGTTAATCTTTACATGATACAAAGGACCATATTCAAGGTCTATAAAATGGATGATCAAATATCATATCAAGAAACACTGCATTTTCAGAAACGTTGCCAAATGCGACCCCTATTTGGTAATTTTCTCTAAAACAAACCCTACATAACCCCCAAACCAACCCCCAAAAAAGCAAAAGAAACCTTAAGGACCCCCAACTAACCCCAAGTAAAATTAAAACTAACCCCTAATAAACCCTAAGCCAATCCTCAATAAGCACTGAAACAATCTTAAGTAGATCCTAAACCAATCCTAAATAGATCGTACACAAATCCCAAATAAATGTTAAACCAACCCTAAATAAACTTTCAACCAACCATAAATAGATCTTAAACAACCCAAAAAAAAAAACCTTCAAAAAATCCTAAACCAACCCCAAATAAACCCCAAACCAACTCCAATAAACTCTCAACCAACCCTAGATAAACCCTAAAGCAACCCTCAATAAAACATAATAAAACGTAAATCAACCCTAAATAGATCTTGAACCTTCCCTGAGCATATAAACCCTAAGCCAACCCTAAAATAAGATTTGAAAACACCATTAGAAAGACCAAAGCCTACCCTCAACCCCAAATAAACCTCTAAACCAACCCCAATTAAACCCTAAACCAACCTTAAACGAACCCTAGTTGCAAAATACCGTGCAACATGAACAGTTGGAGCACCAAAGTGTTGCAAATAGCATAGAAAATGAGAGGTTCGAAGTCCAAAATGTTGTAAATACTCCAGCTCCAAAGTCCTGGTGATAGCAAGGAAAATGGACAGAACAGTAAATCCCCCCCAAACAAGTCCGCAGTCAAAAAAAAACAATTCCAGACCCACTATTTTGGGTCGAAACATGGACATGATCAGTCAATATAATATAAGCCAAAACGTTGTGCCAAAACAATCCAAAACATCACTTGACCTCTTCAGACTTTTGTGGTCAATTTTTTCTTAGGTTTTGAGGGGCAGCAACTGCGATCAATCTTTTTCTGCTTTCCTGCCACCAAGGTGCTTCAGCGAGTTTGTTACGGGCGAGGTGTGGGCGGTGCAGGGATGGTTGGTGAATGTGATTGAATGATGAGTGCATGCATTGTGAGTTCTGAATGTTCCACAGCATCTCAGGTATTCAGGTCCTGTAGCATTTAGTAGCTAAGCTACACATGGTCCTGGTGGGTTTCTTGCAGTTGAACATCAGCATTTTAGATAATTTAGGGCAACCCGTCACTGAAGAGTCTCTTTTTTGACTTTCTATGACCTATTTGCAGGAGACTCCGCTGGGAGAAGGCCAAAGCAATTCCGTTGAAGAACTTGTAAAGAAGGACCGCGCAGTTTACAGATTGCAAACAATTGTGGGGTCCGCTGCCTTTCCTTGTTTCATTTCAGCAAGTCAGGAGGTCATGAGGTAGGGATTTGGTTGACATCTGTTAGGAATCTCAATTGACCGTACCGTGCAGCATCCAAGATCATTCACTTCAGCATCCATGATGCCACAGAAAATCATAATATATCATAATAGGCATATCAAGGCCCAATGTAGGCATCCTTTCAGCCCCCCAGCATGACCTACCCTACGCCCCTACGCAGTGTAGGGCTGTTGTGATGACCTGGTGATATGCTGTGAAGGACATGGAAGACACCTCCATGCAAAAGAGCATGGCCTGGCAACAGGTTGGATGGAATGCCGAGCAACAGGTTGGGTTTGCGATCGAAGTTTATCAAAAAATGTATCTGGTTTGCTGTGTTTGAGGAATTATGAGATACTTCTGAGATGCTACCTGTATCATCTTGTAATTGTTTGATTTGTTTATATTTGCTTGAGTTTCGTTTCTTTTCCGAGGTGATAGGTCCAGGTGGACCATCCTTGCCACAAGATCCATTCAGTTCCATCGATTCAGCTGCGCTGCCTGAAGTTTTGAAGCTCGGCAATGTAATTGGCGGAGTTGCATAGACGAGACAATCAAGGTCGGTTGTGTTTGTGCGTGTGCCAAAGATGCCAAAGCATGTCACATACGTGGCCAACTCTTCCATCCTAAACGAACATCAGCGAACAAGATCATTGGCCGGGGATCAGCTGCCACATGCTGCCAATGGCTGACATCCGGTTCTTCTCAGGCCACATTCTGCTGTCGAGGCTGTCGCGGATCCGCCACATGTGAGGGGCCTTAGCAGCCCTTGAGTAGGGTTGCAGAGAGTGCTTGATACAAAGATGGCAGATGAACTTCAGTGAGCTTTCATTTCCCCTATTCAACATGATTCAACGTTGCTCCCTCACACAGAACATTCGCTGCACCATGCTGATTGAAAGATTTGCTATTGACCCTCACAAAGCGTTTCTGTTGGGTTTGTGGTCCCGTGCAACCCACAATTGTTGAGTTAAAAGATATGTCTATACTATATTTACAATTATACACAAATGGATAAACACATAAACTAAACTACTAAACCATTAAAAAAAACAGATTTAAATATTTACAAAAATGATAGATCATGTAATATAGGTTTCACTTGGAATTCGCAACTTAGCTGGGCTGCCTATACTGTGTGACATGGCCTCGCCGTGGTGTGCCCTTTGTGCTGAGGCTACAGATACGGTGATGCAGACCCTTCACGCTCAAGGCCGATGCGCCCCATGCCTTTTCTACACGCGGAAGAAGGATGGTTGCCGCAAAGGCCTGGATTACGCCGTCACAAGCTGCTTCAGTGCAAAGATGACAAGAGCTGAGAAAACATTTAAATTATTTTAAATTTGTGAAACTGAGTGTTGGTTGCTTTGGCTGCCTTGGTTGCCTTTTCTCATGCAAAATACAGTGATTGAACATACGTAGTGATTTCATGTTGTTTCCACATGTCCACTAGCCCTTCAGCAGGTGATGACTGTGAGCATTGCCACATTTGCAGCAAACAGGAGCAGGGTTCAAGGTTGTCAATCACGGCAACGGTTGTCGTACAAGTTCCTCACCACTGCACAACCCACAAGATCTATATATCAAGATATATCAATATATTTGAGCGACATGTCTAGGTCTAGATGTGTGATATCATATCAAGGCGATTAGGGGAGTTCATGTCCTCTTGCAAGCTTCTTGGGCGTTCACCAGGCTGACACGGTAGCCATACAAGGCCCCATATCAGTTTCAATGGTTTATAACTAGGCTGGGTTGATAAACCAACTGATGACGATATAGGGGCACCACCTTGTACAGTAGAATTTGAATGAATTCAAGCATCCCAGCTCCCGAGAAGTTTTTGAAAGTGGAAGGAAGAGTGATTTCTTGTGATGTTGGGCATGTTGGGTGTGGCCACTGCAGCCACCAGGAGGCCAAACGTCGTCGAAACAAAAATCAATGTGAAGCTCGAAAGCTGAAAAAAGCTCAAAGGCGACAACTACCGCACACTTTCAGAAGTAAAAGAGAATGAGGAGAACGATTTTCGAAGTTTAAGAGCATCCTCCATGACTCCATGAGATAACAACTTTGTATGAACTTCTCAGTGATCCTAAACTCCGCCAACCAGTACCAAAAATAGCAAACCACTGGACTGTTTGGGCCAGGTTGGAGGAGGCGGATGAGATGGATGAGTAGGGCCAAAAAGGGCCATGCCCAAAGCAGAAGTGAGAGCGCAAGCATGAGATGTTCTGTGCTCTCTGGACATCTCTGGACTCTCTGAATACTCTGATGCTTTGGCCATCTCTGGCCACAATTGCGGGCGCAATTGCAGAGTCGCCTCCGCCTACCTTAGATGAACGGTGATCGGTCCAGGCTATGCCATCGGTGATGCATTTGATTTAAAGAATTTGAGGTTTTAAGTGTAAAATATCCGTGAGGGTCCCAGGTTGCAGTCACTATAGTGCTAGCAGTTTTTCCACATTGTCTTTCAACACCATTGCAAAGTACTATAACGAAGAACCGTTGTCCATGATGATGGTGATTATGCCAGATTATGCACAATGCGACAAAATGCGACAAAGCCGTGCTTTTGCCTAAGCTCATCCCACGGGATCCCTTGGCGCTGTCTTGTTCATGCTCGTCGCTACTCGCTACCACGTAATGGTAAAGCAAGTTGCCACAGGGCCGTCCTGGGCGTCCTGAGAAAACAGGATGTCCATAGATTAGATTAGCATCACATTGCACGGGAGTGCAACTCCAACAAGTCCTAGACTTCTTGGAGCAAATGTGTTGCAAATGTGTTGCAATGGTTCAATCCCGATTAGACAGCAATCGGATAGCACCAGTCACTGCTTGCTGCTGGTTTGTCACGGAGCAAGTGTCACAGTAGGAGATGGTCCTGATAGCGGGTACTGGTACTAGTAGTGCTTTAAAGGAGATGTAAGGTGTGGTGCTGTTAAATGCAAAGTAGCAATGGCACTTCAATGTTTGCCTTGGGATGTTGATGTTTTATTTTTATGTTTTTTGCTTGTTTTCATGCCAAGCCGGCAAGACGAGAAGTCCAGTGTGCGGTGACTGACTCATGGTGCTTTGAATACGTCGTGGCAACAGGCAGTCAGCTGTTGGTGTCTCGGTTTCAGCTTCCCTGATGCCCTTCGTTCGATGGAGTTGGTGGAATCACTAAGCTGTCTACAAGCCATTGCAACTTTCAAAGTGGTTGATGTCGTTTTTCTCTTTGCTGATGAACATCTTTTCTTGTCACCTACATACAGCCCATACCCATACCATACCATACCATACCATCGCATGGCATAGCACACATTACATTCCCTAAGTGAATTACACACATTCCCTACGTGAATTACATACATTACATACAGTACATACAGTGCATGCATTACATGCAGTGGATACATTACATATTTCTTTTATTACATTACATTACATAAGAGTGCAGACAGTGCACAATCTTACATAACATTGCGCGCCATTACATACCAACACATACCGACACACGCGCACAAAGAAATAATGAAGTTACATGCCATTACATTACATACCATGAGGTACCATTAAGCATATACCACTGCATACCATTGCACACCATTACATACCATTAATGCCATTACATATCAGTACATACCAGTACATACCAATACATACAAGTACATATTGAGACATACCAACACATACCCCCCACATACCAGTACAAGAAACCAAAACATACCAAGACATACCAAGATGTTCCAATGCATACCAAAACATACCAAGACATACCAATACATACCAATACATACCACGACATACCAAGATATTCGAAGATATACCAAAGACATGCCAAGGCATACCAATATGGATACACACCAAGACATACCAATCATACCAATACATCTGATACATAACAGGACATTCCAAGACATACCAAAACGCAGCAGGACATACCAAAAGGTACCAGCACACACCAAGACATACCAAAACATATCATCACTACATACCAACCATACCAGGACATACCAAGACAGTCAATACAATATCAAAACACAAATATATACATACCAATACTTGTACCCACTACCAATAGCTACTACCAATACCTCCTACCAATACCTACTACCACCAATTCCTACCGACATTTACCGATATCTACGATTACCACCCATACCTACCCATACCTACCGATACCTACTAATACCAGCTGATACTTACCGATACCTACCTACCTACTTACCTACCTACCTACACCTACATGCATTTGAACAAGGGTGTGTTTGAGTGTGTGTGTGTGTGTCATACGTTAGAATTTAACGTGCACGCGCAGGTTTGCATATGTGTATGTATGTGTGGGTGCCTGGTGCTTACCAGGCTTGCCATTTCAGCGTGCAGACGTGCAGCCATGTAAACGTTCCAACGGACCAACTCTGCTTCAAATCCTTTTGTGTTTTTTCGTCAATTCTGGGCTAGTCATTTTAAATATGTTGAAATTGCCTGGAATCGAAGCCGCCGTCTCGCCATGGCAGTGCTGAAAACTGAAAATGGACAGCTCAGGCAGCAAGGATCACTGGTGAGGACTAGGGAAATCAGTGCATTGTCACATATAATATCATATCATCACCGTTCAGCAGGGCGCTGGTGGCAATTTTGGTGTGTGATGTGTGTGTGTGTGTTTTTCTATGCCCAGGCGCCGGCCGCCGGTGCTCTTGCCACTTCCGCAACTTGAGCGATTGCCCAGGCACCACATCTTGGGTCCAGGGTGTCCGCAGAGCGAGGCTAGCACTTGAGGCAGTAAAGATTCATTTTGCAATGCGAAGATATTTGTGGGACTGTCCAGTGGGGCAACATGAGCAAACGTCCGCACAGACATGAACAGATCCATCTCCTGTCCTTCCATTGCTTGATGCTCTTCATGATTCTTAGACTATTGCGCTTTTCGACCGAGAAATATCAGAAGCCAACGTCAGGTCGCATGAACCGGAGAAGTCGGTCGCGAGACGGGGACTAATTAAGGAGCGGAGAGAACAATTTTAAGGGCTGTATGGAAGATTGAGGGGAAAGATTGGCAACAAGACTATATACGCGGCACTGGTTTTAGTCATGAAAATTGCAATAAACCTGACGCTTTGAATCTTCCCTCCGTTCCTCTGGTCACAATTTTTTCGGAACAATTCCATCCATTGTATTGTTGCGATTGTTGCCAGCATCCCAAAGCTCTTGCAAGCGGGGTTGACTGTCATCGGAGAACCTGAGTTTCGCGGAAAGCAGCGCCAAAACTGCAGCAGTTGAGCTTGTTGCTTGCGTGCATAGCCAAGGATAGCCAAGGGCTCCGTTTATGACGAGAGAGAGAGAGAGGGGGTAAAAGGTTTGTCAGCTGTCTCCATGGCAACCATTCCATGCGGCACTGCTACTGTACTGTATTGTTGATGATGGTTTTGGGGCGAAAATCAGGGAGCGCCTGATTGCAACTGCAGGGTATGAGGAACCGATAGGAGCCGAAATGCCGACAACTTGTTCTTTCCTCTCAGCAATGCGGTCACCGGAGACTACTGGAGCTGCAAGAAGGGCTTTGACCAAAGTATGGGGGGCTCAGTGGAAATTAAATACACGGCCCACTCTGCACATTGTCGCCCCAAATCTCTCATGGAATGCACATGGTTGCGATATTTTAGCAATGTTGCTAATCTATGTTCATTAGCTTGTTGCTTGTTCATGACTTGACACAGAGTGGGAGGGAGAGAGGAGGCGAGAGAGAGAAGGAGAGAGGGAAGGGGGGAGAGAGAGAGAGAGAGAGCGAATGAGAGAGAGAGAGAGAAGGAAAGAAAGAAAGAAACAGTAAAGAAAAAAGAACGGATTGACTCGCACCATCTCCGATTTTGTGTTTTCGTCCGGCTTCCCTGTCCGTTTTAATCCGTTTTTTTTTATTTCCGTGCCCTTCCATCTTCAACATGGCAATGTCGGCGGGATTTTGAGGAGCTTGTACCATAGCTGTATGTGTTTGGCCGCTATTTGAGCGGACCCACTTTGACCTGGGCAGAAAAAAAGAAAAGAAAGGAAAGAAAAAGTGAAAGGAAGAAAATAAAAACGAAAGAAGGAAAAGTAGAGAAGGAGGGAGATAGGCATGGGGACACGCACTCAAACAGGCACAAGCAGGATCAAACAGTCACACAGGATGTTGACTCATTCATTGTGGCTCGCAATACTTTGACCCTTGGCGGCTTCTCTGCGCTTCGACACAGAAGACTACATAGGTTAGCTGGTTTTAGTATGTTCTAATTCTTTGGCAAACAAATTGTTTGGTCTCGGGAGCTAGTGTTAGCTTGCAAGTCTGCTACCTTTGGACAACACTGGAAGATTGAACACAAGTATTTATGAATACTCATGAATGTAAGCAAATGATTTGCATTATATAGTTGCCTATTCCAAATTTCCCCGTTGGGCTCTTAGCTTTAGTTCGAAGACCTTAGCGTCGGCAGTTCAGCCATAGAAGAGGGTTTTGCTGGGAGCTTTGGCCATGGGCTGGCGGCTTAGCAAACCTTTCACATCCCCTAAATACGTCTGTGTAAACCAGGAATATCTTTTTCTGCTGCCAAGGTACGAGGAATGAATTGAATCCGCTACACCAAACTAAATATAAATTATATAAATTATATAACAGGTGGGGTTACCGGGTTACACCAGGAATATTTGAACTTGATCGCGCTACCGGGAGAAAGATGGAGAAAGTGGGCGTCAGAGCTTCACCACTGAGAACTATGATAACTATGAACTCAGGCTCCGACGAAAGGCCGAGAAAAAAAGCCAAAACTGTGGCAGTGCCGGTGCCAATTGCCAGGATCTCAGGACTGCCGTGCAGCGCACCATACAGCCATTCAGGATCCATTCACATATTCATCACATTTTCATCACATATTGTACACATTCATCACACTGATTCATCACACTGTCACCTCAGGATATTCAGGCAACTGACACAGGCTGTGGGAATTGTGACCATACTTGGTCAATATTATTGTTCAGTATTTCAGAGTCACTGGCTGTCCAAAAAGCCAAGGGTACGAGGCTACAAAACAGATGTGCTGTACAGCACTGTACTTTTACTGTATACCAATTACACGCACTGAGGATGAAGGGCTTGGTGGGCACAGCCCTTGGACGACCAGCATGGGACAGACGGCAATCCCAAGTTGGAGCTACATTTCTGA